GCACCTGCTTAAGGGGCTAGCTCGTGAGTACCCGAACGCTATGGGCCTGGAAGTAGGGTCTGAGTTTTTTGGCTGCGGTGACGAGGGCCAAAGCCAACTTTTCAAGATTGGAGTATCGGGTCTTTGCGCCGCTGAGGACCTTGCTGGTGTACTAGATCGGCCTCTGTATCTGGTCCTCTTCTTTGACCAGTACTGAGCTGATGACCTCATCCCCGGCCGAAAGGTAGAGCAATAGCTTGTCTCCTGGGCTCGGCTTAGTCTGGAGGGGCGGTGAGCTCAGTTACTGCTTTAGTTCCTGGAAAGACTGCTCTCACTTTTCTGTCCAGTGGAAGTCCTTTGGCCGTTTGAGGGCTTTGAAAAAGGGGAGGCACTGGTCCACGGAATTGGACATAAACCTTCCAAGGGTGGCTATTCCCCCGGTGAGCCATTACACTTCTTTGTGGGTCTGGGGGGATGGCATGTCGAGGATGGCTTTTATCTTCTCCAGATTTGCTTCAATTCCTCTCTGTGTTACCATAAACCCTAGAAACTTGTCGGAGCCAACCCTGAAGGCGCACTTGGTTGGGTTTAACCTCATCTTGTACTTTCTAAGTGTGTCGAAGACTTCGCGAAGGTCGACCAGGTGGTGTTCGGCCTTTTTTCTCTTCACGAGCATATCGTCGACATATGCCTCCACGTTCCTACCGAGTTGTTCCTTGAATACCTCATTCATCAGCCATTGATAGGTGGCGCCTACATTTTTGAGGCCAAAGGGTATTACCTTGTAGCAGTACAAGCCGCAGTCAGTGATAAAGGTCGCTCACTCCTGGTTGTCCGGGTCCATTCGGATCTGGTTGTAGCCTGATAAGGCATCCATGAAGCTTAGGAGATCATGTCCTTCTGTTGCATCGATGAGTTGGTCGATCCTTGGTAGGGGAAAGCTGCCTTTGGGACAGGCTTTTTCAGGTTGGTGAAGTCGATGCAGATTCTCCACTTTTCGTTGGCCTTCTTCACCATCACTACATTGGCCAACCAATTGGGATATTTAACTTCCCTAATGAAGCCGACGTCGAGCAACTTCTATACTTTATCAGCGATCACTTGCCACCGCTCTGTGGCAAAGTTTCTCTTCTTCTACTTCACAGGTCGGTAACGGGGGTCGATGTTCAGCCGATGTGTGATAACTTCAGGATGGATTCCAGGCATGTCCTCTGTCGACCAAGAAAATACATCGGCATTATTCCTCAGTAGTCGAACAAGTTCCTCTTGGAGGTGGTCACCTAGCTGGGAGCCAACTTGGACCATCTTTTCGGGATCTTCCTCAAATAGGGGGACCTGGACGAGGTCTTCCACGGGTCGGCCACGCTGTGCCTTTACTTCGTCACGCAGGTCATATGCTTCCGCCATCAATGTCTTGGTCGTGGATGTGGTCCTCGATAGGATAACTGATAGCAATGTCACGTTGTTTTCTGGTCTTTGCACGCCACCCCTAATGCCATACTTGGTTGGAAATTTCATGGCGAGGTGGTACGTTGAAACTATGGCCTGGAGGGCAATAAGGGTCAGCCTGCCGAGGATCACGTTGTAAGAGGTGGGGCAATGCACCACGATGAAGTCTACCATGGCTGTCACAGTCACGTCATCGTCTCCGATCAAGAGGGGAAGAGTTATCCTCCCAATGGGCTAGAGGGACTCTCCCGAAAATCCCATCAAGGGAGTGCTAACTAGTGTAAGCCATTCTTTGTCAATGCTAAGCTTTTCAAATGCATCTTCAAACAATACATCAGTAGAACTCCCTATGTCGATTAGGATCCGCGGTAGCTCAAAGTTGGCCACTTCAGCTGTGAGGACCAAGGTGTCGTCGTGCAGTGTCTGGACCCCTTGGAGTTCGTCGTCTGTGAAGGTGATAGATGTGTCACGCCTCCTCTCGTGACCTCGGTCGTCGATCTCGCATAGTCGAGCATATCTTTTCCGTCCCGAGCTGCTTTCCCCTCCGGAAATAGTTCCTCCCGATATCACGTGAATGACGCCAACTAGGGGGCCTCGGGGCGGGGGTTGCTGAGCTTCATCCGCTCTTCCTTCCTCTTGGGCTGACTTCTCCTTCCTGTCTATGAAGCCGTTAAGATAATCATGCCTAATTAGATCTTCAATATGGTTGCGCAGGTCGAAATAGTTCTCCGTATCATGGTCATGGTCATTGTGGAACTCGCAATATTTGTCTCAGTTTCTCTTGTTACTTTGCATCTTCATCTTCTCGGGCCATCTGACATAGATGCAGTCGCGGATTTGCATCAGGATTTCAGATTGCGGAACACTAAGTGGCGTGAAATTTTGATAGGTCAGCGGAGGGGTGCGAGGTCTATGGTCGGTCCAGCGATCTTCTCTTGTGGTCTTTGTCCAACCTCTCGGACTTCCGCTCGTCGTTCTCTCTCCTTTTCTTGTCAGGCTTCTCATCCTCGTCTCTGAGTTGGGCCTGGGCCTCTTCAGAGTTGATATACTTTTGCGCATGGCTCATTAGTGCGGCCAACTTTTGAGGAGGATTCTTGGAGATGGAGAAGTTGAATGGGGAAGGGTGGAGTCCGTGTTGTATGGCCATCACCGCAACTGATTCATTTAAGTCCCTAACTTGGAGTGCTTCTTTGTTGAACCTCGCCAGGTAATCTCTAAGGGCCTCCGCCTTTCTTTGTCGAACCTGCATAAGGCTGGCCGAGGTTTTCCAATGCTTCTGACTAGCTGTGAACTGTGCCAGGAATTGGGTCTCCAGTTGGGCCAATAATGCTATAGACCTCGGCAGCAGGAAGGAGTACCATGCCAAGGTTGGGCCTTGTAGCGTGGTTACAAGGGCTTTGCACATCAGTCCCTTTGACGCACCATATAGCATTATCTGGGCTTTGAGCGCCGCGACATGGTCAAAAGGGTCAGAGTTTTCGTCGTACTTGTCAAATTGGGGAGCTTGCCATTCGACTGGGGGTATCTCGTCCACTATGTCTTGGACGAAGGGGGGCTCCTTGGTGATATGCGTGGTGAAATGGGTGGTAGTGTGCTCTAACTCTTCCATTTGTTGCCGGAGCTCTTTAATTTTGGCATCTCTATTGTCTGGGGCTGCAGTGTGTATGGCCTCCCTTTTGGGTAGTGTGGGATGATCCTTTACCGAACTTGACTCGGCGACTGAGACTACGAAGGGCGTCATCCTTTTGTCGAGCCTTTCTTTGGCGGGGATGTGAGCTGACTAGTGTGTCTGGCTATGGTAGTCCCATCCGCGGGAACGGGCAGTAGCGGTGGGCTTTTGGGTCGTGTCCTGCTTCATACGCTCAGAGCGCTCTCCCCTTACGTTTGACCAGCGCGCTTTGGAGTCCTCGGTCCGAGGATCATCCTTCGTGCACGTTGGGGCATGAGGGGGGACAGCCCGGTTGGGTGGCGCGGCAATCCCTAGTGTTTGCATGAATTCGAAAATCTTATCAACATTTTCTTGCATGGCTCGGAATTGCGCTAGATCTACTGTAGCTGAAGGTTGTAGAACATCTTGGAGCGGGGAGTCATGGTGTTAGTTCTCCCGAGACGGGGAATGTCCGACTGATCGTTCAGACTAGTTTTTAGGCATCTTAATCACTTTCTTAATTGCACGGCGAGGAATGAGATTTTCGGGAAAGGCTTTTTGTGCAAATCTCACAGGCGGCACCAATCTGATGCTGCTCTATTTGAGGTAGTGCACGAGCCGAGGATGGCAATCAGATAGTCCTTGATGGCAGGTCGGGGCCGAGCTTCAAGGACGAGGCCATGCTTCGAAATTTGCGGTCAAGGAAGAAGTCAGATGCCCGAGGAATTACCCCCGTGTGAGTACTCCGACGCTCAAGTCAGTAGGAGGTGGTGGATAGCCGGGCCGATCTATAGGGATGCTGGTCCGGGCTAATTAGTAGTGTGGGTGTTAGAAGTCAATAGTCCCTTATCTYGAGCATGGAGTACCTTTTTATAGCCAGAGGGTCCGTGTCCGTATCCTGATCGGAGTAGGTTTCCAGGGAAATCGGGGTAGAGTTCCCCGCCGAGGTTACAGGGGGTAGAGTCCTACTCCTCGGCAGAGTTGTCTTCCCATTCCTAGGCGGGCTTATCCATGAGGGGCGTAGCTGACGTGGTCAGCAGAATCATGGCAATGCCATAGCTCAGCCAGAGTTTGCCGACGTGGCCGAGCTATGACAGATGGCCGCGAGCCTCATGGCCAGCTCAGCCATGTCCCCAACAGGATGAAAACACAAATTCCAATAAAGCATATGCCCTTTTTATCAAAATCCCACTTGAATACAAATTTACTTCTTTTTGTTAATGTGCTTTTACATCTTATTATCAACGTGGAAAATGTGTTTTTTATCATTTGTTAATACATAAATGTAATATTATTGCACCAAACACATGTAAAGGTGAACCATTGTGCAAATTTACACTGAACCAGGATTTACACTCCATTTACATTGTTTCCATACACAGCCATAGCTTGTATACCTCCATTTTCATGTTTGCATATGTATGAAGCTTACTATTAATTAATTATGGGAGATTGAATTACACAACTTTGTCTTATTTTTTTAACAAAAAAAAAGAATTAGTACATGCAATACTCAAAGAGGAAAAAAGTACACAAAAGTGTACCTCTTAGTATGTCCATGGATGCTCAAGATCATATCTATGAACAGAAAAATTGTAGAATTGGGGATATAGTACCCCTGAAGTTGGATTTTATTAAAATAAAACTTCCTTGAAAATTTGCTATGTTTAATGAATTTCTTTGTCATTTCATATGCTTTCTAGTTTGGTTTGGTGATGGGCCTGATGGCCCATTTAGTGCTCTTTGTACGACCTGATATTGTCTATTTATTCTTATTTATTGCAGCAAATGATGATAACTGTTCTATAGCTATATTTGTAAAAGGTGAAAAAACTTATAGCTGCACTTGAGATATATCTGATTGTGTATATCTTTGAATGAAAATTAATCCAACTATTCACGGATGGCATTATTATTAATGCAGATTGAGTCGAAACTCAATGTTACGATTCGTGATCTTGAAAACAAGTTGGCAGCAGAGCAACTTGCACATTCTAAGACGAAAAGGGATGCAGAAAGTGCCCAAACGCGTTCAGATAAGGAAATCCATAAGCTTAAGGAGGAGTTAGAGAGAGTACATCATCGCCCTCCTATTATACTTAAATGTCCTTCTCCTCCTCCTCCTCCTCGTACAAAGACTTGTGGAAGGAACTAAACCGACTGGTTAAGAGACTATAGTTGTCTCTAGGAACAAAATATTTCCTATTTGGTCGTTATATTCAGTCTTAAAATATCACAGTGATCTCCATTGTGCACGCCCAAACTCGCCAGTCCGAGATGCGTTTGAAGCGGGCCTTGGCTGCCGAGAGCTCATCCCGCGAGGCTCACACCGAACTGAAGTTAGCTTGCGGTCAGATCCACCGGCTATGAGAGCGACGCGATAGCTCAGAAAGAGTATATCACAGTGTTGATGTCGGAGAAGGAAGATCTGCTGTGCCGAGTGGAGAGCCTCGAGGCCAATATCAAGGAGCGAACCGAGATCCTCGTCAAGGCTATGGATGAGGCCAAGGTGAAAGTTGTTGAGGACTACAAGAGCTTGGAAGAGTTCGATGGGGCATTGGTGGAGGCCTACCACAAAGGCTTCAAGCTCAGTAGGTGGTTGATCAAGCGCGAGTTCCCGCAGCTCAACGTAAGCGCCATCACTACCTCGCGAATCACAGGAGAGGTAGCCCTCCAAGCTGCTGAGGACCCAGACTCCGAGGAGGAGGGTGATGATGACATTGGAGAGGCCAATGCCACCGATCAGGCTGGTACTTCCGCGGAGGCTTCGGGCAAGAGCGACAAGTCCCCTAAGTAGTCTGAGTGGTCTTTTGTAATTTGAGCCTGCAAGCTCGGCGTTTCTTTTGTTCCTTTTCTGCCCGTGTAATGAACTACAAAATTAATGAAATACTCTTTTTTCAAAGTGTCAAGCAATTACCTCCTTTTTTATCACAATTATGTAATTTTCTCCGAACTGTTGAGTCATCGAGCTAGGTGACCGAGGTAGGGGTTTCTTAGTTGTTACCCCGAACTGCCACCCCGTACTTAGGAGTAATTTGCCAAAGTGAGCGGCATTGTAGGGTATACGCCCGACCTGTCTACACATAGGCTACATGTCATAACAACCATTACAGGTATCCATACCCGAGCTGGGTGTGCCTTAGCACTTCGCCTATGCCAAAGAGGCGACTAGGTCTTTGATGGTGCCGAGGTCCTATGTTAGCTCGGTATTTTAGCCCTTAGGCTGAGGGAGTGACTTATAGTCCACTCTCCTCTGGAGATCGCCCATGCCAAAGAGGCGACTGGGTCTTATATGGTGTCGAGGTTGTTTTATTAGCTTGGCGCTTTGGCCCTTAGGCTCGAGGAGCGACTTATGGTCCACCCTCTTCTGGAGTTTGCCCATGCCGAGGAGGCGACTGGGTCTTGTAGTGTCGAGGTTTAGCTCAGAACTTTGGCCCTTAGGCTCGAGAAGCAACTTGTGGTCCACTCACTTCTAGAGTTCACCCATGCCAAGGAGGCGACTGGGTCTTGTAGTGTCAAGGTTTAGCTCACCCCTTGAAACTTAGGCCTGAGGAGCGACTTGTGGTCCACTCAGCTCGATAATTATAGGTAATATTGCCTTAGGTTGACAATATTCCATGCCCAAGGTACTTGCTTCCCTTCTAGGGTTTCAAGCTCATACGTTCCTTCCCCAAGTACCCGCTTTACTCGGTAGGGTCTTTCCCAATTTGGCCCAAGCTTACCAACCCCAGGCTCAAGTACCATGACTTTACGAAGAACCAAGTCTCCGACGCGGACGTTCTGCTTCTTGACCCTGTCGTTTTAGTACCGAGCTACTCTCTACTGGTAGACCGTGGTCCTAATGTATGCGAGGTCCCATACCTCATCAAGTAGGTCGAGGTTGGTGCGTAGTTCATCCTTGTTTGCTTCATCGTCGTATGCTTCCAGGCATAGCGTAGGGACCTCAATCTCGGCTGGGATCACCGCCTCCGTGCCGTAAGTGAGGTTAAAAGGGGTCTCACCCATTGCGGTCTTCACCGTGGTTCGAGAAGCCCATAGTACACTGGGCAGCTCGTCTACCCATAGTCCCTTAGCTCAGGCTAGACGTGCCTTCAGTCTGCGAAGAATGGCTCTGTTTGTGACCTCCGCTTGACCGTTCGCTTGAGGGTGCGCCACCGAGGTGAAATTTTGTTGTATTCCCGTGTCTTTGCACCAATTTTGGAACTTAATGTCCTCGAATTGTTTGTTGTTATCAGAAATGAGCACTCGGGGTAGTCCGAAACGACAAACTATATTCTTCCAGAAGAAATTCTGTACACTTCACGCCGTGATCATTGCGAGAGGTTCGACCTCCACCCACTTAGTGAAATAATCAATTGCTACCACTAAGAACCTCCTTTGTCCTGTCGCTGGTGGAAACGGTCCGAGTATATCGATCCCCCACTGTGCAAAGGGCCATGGGTTGGTAAGGTACTTTAGGTCGACATCGGGCTGGTGGTGGATGTTGGCGTGCTTCTGACACTTGTCACACCTTCTCACGAACTCAATCGCATCTGTCTTCATCATTGGCCAATAATATCCCTGTCGTAGTGCCTTCTAAGCCAGATCCCTGCCCCCCATGTGTCCGCCGCACAATCCCTCATGAGTGTCGCGGAGCACGAGCTCAGCTTCAGAAGGTCGTAAGCAACATAGATAAGAGAGCGTGTAGGATCTTCGGTATAGTCGTCCGTCTATTATGACGTATTTGGCTGCCTTATGCTCTACCCTTCTGGCAGCATTACGATCTGCAGGGAGGGTCCCGTGTAGCAGGTAGATCGCGAGTGGATCAACCCAGCTCGACTCTGCTTGTACGACAAGAACGGCCTCCTCTACCCCCACCCCCGAGAATGCTAGGCCGAGGCAAGTTCTCTATGTACATGGTTTTCATGGTGTTATCGCTTGTGCTGGATAATCGGGACAGGGCGTCAGCCTCAGTGTTCTCGGATCTCGGGATCTGCTTAATGAAGTATGATTGGAAGTCGAGCAGAGCCTCTCTGACTTTGGCTAAGTAGGCGACCATGGTTGGCTCGCGAGTTTCATATTTGCCGGTGACTTGTTTGACCACAAGCTGGGAGTCGCTGCAGATAACGATGTGCTTAGCTTTTACTTCTTTTGCTAGGGCCAGCCCGGCTATCAACGCCTCGTACTCTGCTTCATTGTTGGACGCAGCGAACTCGAAGCGTAGTGCATACTCCAATTTCACACCGCTTGGCCCGTACAGAACGATCCACATGAAAGATCCAGGGCTCCTCATCCCAGGTCGGGTTCGGTCTGACCAGGAGAGAGGCCGCACTGGTTGAAGCTTCCTCACTGTGCTCGGGCTCAAATGGCCTGGGGACTTCGGTGCTGAAAGTGCATTCCACGACAAAGTCAGCTAAGGCTTGGGCCTTGATAGCATTTCGCGGCTTGTACTGGATGTTGTACTCGCTGTGCTCGATGGCCCACTTCGTCAACCTACCGGAGACCTCGGGCTTGAGCAAGACTTGCCTCAGAGGCTTATTGGTGAGGACGACGATCGTATGAGCTTGGAAGTACGGTCGAAGTCTCCGAGTTGCAACAACTAGCGCATACGCCAACTTTTCGATCTCTAGATACCTCGTCTTTGCTTCTTGCAACACTTTGCTAACATAATAGATGGGTCGTTGGACTCGATCTACTTCTTTTATCAGTACCGAGCTGACTACCTCATCACTCGCGGAGAGGTACAGCTCCAAAATATCTCCCTCCTCGGGTCGGGTTAACACCGGGATGCTAGCGAGGTACCTTTTGAGCTCGTCGAAAGTGAGTTGGCACTCTTTGGTCCATTCAAAGCTCTTGCTTCTTTTAATTGCCTTGAAGAAAGGCATGCAGCAATCTTCCGATTTAGACATGAAGCGGCTCAGAGCGGCTATGCGGCCGTTCAACTTCTGAACCTCCTTCAATTTACAGGGTGGTTTCATATCTAAGATGGCCTTAATTTTATCAGGGTTGGCCTCGATGCCACGTCGGTTAATGATGTAACCTAATAATTTACCCGAGGTGACACCAAAAATGCACTTATTCGGGTTTAATTTCATGTTAAACTTGCGCAAAATTTCAAAAATAGAAAGCATATCTTTTATTAAATCATTCAAAAATTGGGTTTTGACAACCATGTCGTTTACATAGCATTCTACTTTTTGGCCGATCAATGGCTCGAACAATTGGTTTACAAGTCTTTGAAAAGTAGCCCCAACATTTTTCAGCCCAAAGGGCATGACCTTGTAGCAGTACAGACCTAGTTTGGTTATGAAGGCCATTTTTTCCTCATCGGCAGGGTCCATTCTGATCCGATTGTAGCCCGAGTAAGCATCCAAGAAGCTCAACAACTCATGCCCTGAGGTCGCGTCCACCAAACGGTCTATCTTGGGAAGTGGGAAGCAGTCCTTCGGGCAACCTCGATTCAGGTCGGTATAATCGACGCACATGCACCATTTACCATTGACCTTTCTTACCAAAATGGGGTTGGCTACCCAGCTCGGGTAATGGACCTCCCTGATGAGTGTTCAATTTATGAGTAATGACTCCAAGGTCTATGCCGGGCATCTCTACCGCGAACCATGCAAAAACACCTAAATTTTTTAAGTAGAAAGCTTACCAGCTAAGATCGTAGAGGCTCCTTGATTGAAGCACCGATCTGAAGAGTCCAAACTGGATTGTCTATCGAAGTAGGTACAGCAACTGTCTCCTCTATGGGCGTAGCTCGCTCTTCATGCTGCTCCGTAGGTCGCTCCAACTCGAGGTCGTCGGCCACCTTGGCTTTCCCCTTCAGGGCGGCGACGTAGCATTTGCGAGACTCGAGCTGGTCGCCCTGTGCTACCCCTACTCCGAAGTCCGTTGGGAACTTCATAGCCAAGTAATAGGTGGACACCACTGCGTGTTAAGCATGGGTGATTGGCCGACCTATTATAGCATTGTACGGGGAGGGAGTCGTGACCACTAGAAAAGGGTGATCAAATCTCACAATACTGGGCCATGTGCCGACCTCCACAACTACTGTAACTTTCCCCAGGGGCCTGACTTCCTCTCCGCTGAAGCCCACCAAAGGAGTGTTCATGGGCTTGAGATCGCTTTCCCGAACCTGAAGTTTGTCAAACGCGGCCTTGAAGAGTATATCCGTCGAACTTCTAGAGTCAACGAGGATGCGCCTTACCTCGAAATCATTGATTATCATCTTTAGAACGAGCGCGTCATCATGGGGGTACTGGACTCTACGAACGTCATCTTCGGTGAAGAAAATTGATTCCTCTACCCTTGTTTGCTTCGGGGGATTCCGCTCTTCTCTTTCGATCTCACGAGCCGAGGTCCTTGCTGCGGCTAAGGTGCAGCCCACGACGATCGATCCACCGGTGATCATTTGGATTGTTCCCCGAACTGGCCTCTCTTCAGGTGGCTGCCTCTGCGGCTACTCATTTTTCCTGTTGCTGGACTCGGGAGTGTCTCTACCTTGCTCCCCCTGCCGCCCTGTTTTATTATCACTTTGTACAAAATTTCTCAAATACCCGCGATGGATGAGTTCTTCTATCTCATCGCAAAGGTTTTTACAATTTTCGGTGCTATAATCGCGATCTCTTTGAAAATGGCAATACAGATTTTTATTTCTAGTATTCAGGTCTCCTCTCATCCGAGGTGGCCACTTCACATAAGATGCGTCCTTGATCGCCATGAGGATTTATGCTCGCTTCGCATTCAAGGGCGTGTAGTTCGTCCTTTCAGCTAGAGGAGCTCGGAAAGACTGGTCTGGTTTTCCTGCCCGAGCTGGTTCTTTCCTCCTCTTACTATCCCCATTAGTTGAGGTCTCACCTTCCCTTTTTCTCTTCTCCGGTGAGTTCTCATTCTTCTGGTTCATCTCCTCCTCTGTTCTGATGAACTGGTCTGTGAGCTTGAGGAATTCGGTTACGTCCTTGGGCTTGTTGGAAACCATGTGCCACTTGAATTCTTTGTGCGTTATGCCTCTTTTGTCTGTTGTGAGTCTCACTGCGGGGTCTGGATCAGGTATTTGCAGACATGCATCATTGGATCTCTTAATGTAGTTGCGGATAGATTCCCCCTCCCTTTGGACTATGCCGAGAAGGCTTTCTTGGGACCTCGGACACCTCTTGTTGGTGATGAAGTGTGAGGTGAAGATCTGCACGAACTACGCCCAATTCTTGATTGTCCCAGGCGCAAGGTTTCTATACCATGTGCGAGCTACCCCCTTAAATGTAGTAGAGAAAGCTACGCACATGCAAGACTCACCTGCCCCGACTAAGTGCATCTGGGACTGAAAAGAATCTACATGATCATTCGGATCGAATGACCCATCATACTTGTCTAGGGGAGGTACCTTGAAATCTTTTGGCATCGGGACGGCCAGGAGTTTGGGAGATAGGGGAGATGGCACAGAGAGAAGCGGAGTGGCTTTCACTACTCCCGAGCTCTGCGGCATCTCCGTTGCTTCTTTGTTGGCTCCGCATTGGTGCTGCTGGCCTCCGTGTTGTTAGGCACAGTTCTCGCGGGGAGTGTCCCAGACTGCTGGCGATGGCTGTGGATTGAGGGACCTTGTCTAGAGTTCGCGGCCAGGACCACGAACCAGTTTTCTACGAGCGGGATCTCAAACTCTGAAAGCCGAGGTGATACGGGTCTGTTAGATTGAGAATCTCCCGACCTGACCATGCGCGGTGAGGTGGGAGTAACTAGTTTCTCCCTCCTACCGTGGGATGAGACTTGGCTCCTAAGGGGATTCTAGGTCTGGGAGGTCTCTCCCCAGCGAGAGGGGCGTTCGCTCCAACGGTGAAGCTTAGCTTGCTGTGTGGCCAGATGCTGAGGTGGAACCGGTTGCTGGTTCTGAGGCAGTAGTGGGAACTACTACTGGTACTGCTGTTGATAAACATGGTGTAGTGCTTGTTGCTGATACAGTTGGAGCTGCTAAACTTGTTGCATTTGAGCTTGTGTAGCTCGCATGTAGTGCATCAGGTCTTCGAGTTGGTTCTATCCAGCTACTAGGGGAACAGACGGTTCGGAGAAGGTTGTACCTACCATGCGGGGGAGTGGATCACTCACTGGAGCCGTGATCTGAGCCACGTTTAGAGTCGGGACCCCATCCACAAAGAGAGGTATGATGAACTGACTGACGCACACCGTCGAGATCTGAGGTAGCTCCCCGGAAGTGTTCATATTCGCGCTGCGTCCGGCATTGCTGGAGGAAGCCATGAAAACTTGAATGAAAGTGCTTGGCGAAAAGAGGATTTTTGAAGCATTCCCACAGACGGCGCCAATTGATGGTGCGTGATCTGGTCACTCCTAGCTGGAAGTGGTTGCGCTCCTAGCTGGCGACAGATGAGAGATACCCGTGAGGAAGAAGATTAAGGAACTCGGGGGGCTCACCCGGCGGGAACACTCTGATGGTTAAGTTAGTAACTGGACTGAAAGCTAGGAGAGAAAGAGAGAGAGAGAGAGAGTTGCAGAGAAATTAAATAGCTAGAGTGATGATCATGCAATACCTTCGCCCTTGGGGGTCGGGGTCCTTATATACTAGTATCCTGACATGTCAGGTGCAACCGCCTCTGCATCTCTGCTGTGGCGATCTGCTGTCAGATAACGGCTTGGAGTGGTTGGTCGTTATTTGTTAGAGCTGAGCTGGCGGGCAAAGGTGATTGCTGCAGAGTACGGTCCTGCCAGACAAGAAACAACCTCCAGGGTTGGCAGGCACGACACCGCTAGGCGAGAGACATGGGCGCAGTCTTCAGGTTTGGCAGATACGGTTGTCAGGCAGAAAACCCCCTGCGATATGCCGAGCTGCTCTACAGCAAGCTACCTTACACCAATCTGCTGGTGATATGCCGAGGTGCTTCTATCTGAGGCAGGTCTCCGAGGTGGCCTTCTAAGGTTTGGACAGGAGCGAGCTTATTCTAGCTGGGGAGCTGACGAGCTTAACCCGAAGTGTCTTCAGTTCATGATGCTCCCTACTTGGGAGAGTCTTAGCTCGGGGTGCTCCCTACTTGGAAGAGTCTTAGCTCGGGGCAATGAAGTATTATCTTGTAGCGAGCTACCATTCACGGCGAGCTGTCAGGCTGGGTTATAGCGAGCTCGTTACGCTGAGTTGGAGCGAGCTCATTATGCTGAGCTGTCACTTATGTCGAGTCACGTCCATGTGTCCCCTCATAATGAGGTCAGACCAAATCACCCTCTATCAACCTCCATTAACCATCAACTCATGAATAAAAGCCAAAATAACACTCATACCCTATTGTACAGTCGATATAATTAAAACAACACTGTTGAAAAAGGATTTTGCCCAGGTCTTTCCCTATATGGTTTGGCCTTACGCTGGCCTGAGCCCAGACCTAGCCCAATCTAGCCAACATGAGCCTAGTCTGAACTAAAATTTGGAAACACTCAGATTGGGCTCTGGCTCATGTGGGCCTTTTAGGCCCAATGTATTAAAAGGATTGTCCCAAACCTGTGTAAAACCAATAATTCAAACCATTAAATAGATATAGATATAGATATATGTGTGTATAAACTTGGCTAAGATCAAGCTAAAGTTCAGGGGCTCAGGCTCATGTGGGCCTATTAGGTCCAATGTAATGCTTTGCTTGATGCTTTGGGGGTTCAATCATTTAGAACAGTTATAGTGTTTGGAGATGAGATTTGCATTATTATCTTTTAAGATTTCTATTTATATTTATGAAGGATATCTCCGTGTGATAATTTTAACTTTGATATTACTTTCCCTCAATTTTCTTGTCCAAAATTTTCTCAGAAACCAAACACATCAATAACGCCAATATGCATCATAATTTGAGAGATAAAAACAGTTGACATCTACTCAAGTGTCAATTTCCTCTTTTGATGTTTATTTTTTCTGTAAGAACCAAAAGAAACCAAATTCAGGACTGAACTTGCTTCTAGATGGGTCATGTCCCATGTGGCCTATTCATAGTTCATACATGCCTTGGGTCCACCATTTCTCATTGGTAACACAATGTTTATCTTATCCACATATCTTCAACTTTTGACCAAATAGCTAATTGGGCATCACATACAATATGTATATAATTGGTAACCTTTTTCCCTTGTTTTAAATTACTTTTGGAATCTAACCCTAAAATCAATGGTCAGGTCTTGACACAAATTTCATATATTTGTTTAGTACAAAATTTAGAGACAAATTACAAAAATAAATTTGTAATAAAGAAAAATACAAGGTAATGAACTCTGTTTGATTTCTACTCAATGACATGAGCAATCTCTGATTAACGGTCGAATTCGGTGAAAATGAAGGTTGCTGGCATATTTCTTGTACTTCTTGAATTGTTAATGTAAATTTCATTGATTTGGTGCTTCTGAAGAGTTGATGTATATTTCTTGACTTCGGACTTCATACTTGATCAACTATAAATAATGCTTCTCTAAGAAGAGTCCTTTTGTAGTGGCTTAATGTTCTTGGGAGAGACTGAACCCAAGTTTGTTGTAGAAAACTAAGAAGTTTGTTTCTTCTTTCTTTTCATTTGATGTTAAAATTGTTGGAGTTGATGTATGAGAGTTTCTTGCAATGTCATTGTGAAAAGAGATGGCTCTTTCTTCCTTGAACCCATGAAGCCCCATATTTAACTTGGGGTGGGGGGGGGGCTATCATGTATATTAAACTTTGTCTTAATCATTCATATGTCTACAAATGCGTGTCTGTGTGGGTAACAAATAAAGGCCAAAGAACAATTCATTATTTTTATTGAAAGAAGAAGATGAGAGAGAATAAAAAATTCACACCACGGCAATACCATACTATATTACTAAAGGCTTTCACAGTCACGCTCATTACACAAAAGAAGTGTGAAAATTAAAATAAAGAAAGAAGCAGAGAGAAAGAAAATACATAAAATATTCCAGTGACCCTCGCCTTGTAGCTTATTTTCTTACTACTTCTAAAACTGCAAATTTCCAATTCGCATCTCCTCGAGCTCACCTAATCCTGCAAGAAAATTTGAAACCCAAACTGTTTCAGTCTTAAATAATAGTAAGCACATCCCTCTACAATTTCAATGTATTAATTTGTTCCATTATTAATATCTCGATGCCATGAGAACATGGTATATACGAGTGCAATATTAGAACAAGTTCAGATTTGTGTCCCCACAGAGCGTGTCACATGTTCACATCTCAGCGTATATTAGGAACATCTCCCAATACTTACCGATGAGAGAAGTTGAGATTTGTTATGGGGCACAAATCTGAACTTTATTAGAACATCTGTGAACGGAGACTGAAATCAAACACGATCTAATTATGTTGTATGTGGATGACCCGTTTTTTACAGATTGGATATATGGACTTTGACCCATTCGATCTGTACTTTACTTTAGGATAAAAATCTCATTAAATTTCATAAGTAGACTCAGATTAATTTTATAAACCGAGTCCGAGCCAAGATAGGGTCCAAATCCAATCCATCGAATGTGGATTCGTATTTTCAATGGTTGGATCGGATTCAAATGAGGCAGTGTCTGACCCAGTTACAGCCTTGAATAATACAAAGGTAATTAAAATGAAGAGCATATATATATATATATATATATATATATATATATATATAACCCAGTCTTTATCTAAATCATTGACTTGGTCAACGACCTATTGATCCCAGCGGTTCATCAGCCTGTTTGACTTGGACAATAGGTTTTAACCTTTTTTTTAATTTTATTTATTTTTTATTTTTTAAATAAAAACAAGCCATCCAACTGGTCGCCAAAATAGTTTTACTTCTGAGCCGGTTTTTAAAACCTGGACCAACCAATAACGGCCATTTTTGTTAGATGAAGAGTACTAACATAACAGACACAACAGCCAGCTCCCAAATGATACAGAACTGATATGGTGTGTCATTGCTGGCTCCGTATTACATCAAAACCATATACAGTTGGGTTGGGTTTAGATTGTGTTTGGTACCACTGCTGTTCCTATCCAAAACGTTTGGGATTAATAATGAAAAATGTGTGTTGTCAACTTATCGCATCACAACACATATAAGAGTAGGTTCAGCTGCAAAAATGTATGTAGGGGATTGATCATTGAAGCCTAGCAATCCCTCCTATGTATAGAGCCTATGTATCAGTCCCAATTATTAAAACCAAGCTATATATCTCCCATTACGCCAATACATCAAATCTGATTTTCACAAAAAACAAAAGAGAAAAGCCAAACCTGGAGCAATCTGTAGAAGGGCTGATTTTGTAAGTGAATTGGACTCCACATCTGCCAGGGATAGAGTTAGCTAGACCCAGATTGACCCCAGGAATACTAGCAGCTGCTGACTTGAAGCATGAACATACAGCTTGACGGTCTGCCGTTGTCTTGCTCGCAGTGATTAGGCCCCTCACAGCGCCGCAGCATGCCGGCGGCAAAGCCCCACCCTTAACAAAGTAGTTGATGCAGGGAGTCAATAAGCTGGCAACCTGTCCACAAGTCATGGCTGCATCCGCATGATCAGGAGCGGCAACCATGAGCAAGCTCAGCAGCGCCACTGCCAATGCAAGCTTAGAGACAACTGCAGAGCTGGCCATGGCTATTCCTAATTTCCTAGCTATCAACTCACTGGAGTCTGGAGGAGTACTAGTACTACCCTTGCTAATACAAACTTTTCTTACTTCAGGACGGATTAAGCCTTGAACCCAACTTTGTATGGCTCCATCTCCATTAGTCTTCTCTTTATATAGAGTGGGGAGCTTCTGGTTGGCTGTGCGCAAGAGATCTACTCTCCATTGTGTAGACTGCGAAGACCCAAATGTATGCCACGTGGCAAAATGCAATGTTAAGGAGTACAGGAGCAGGAAGAAGGCAGGCAAGCTCATCGAAAGGAAGATGTGAAAGGGAGTACAATTTCGAGTCTATTCTTGTAATTTTTTAATGTTCTTCTCTCTACCTTCTCCTTGTACCACGCGGATGCTTATTCACCTCCATTTTTCTAATTGTTTTATATAAAATCAACAATAGGCAATTAATTAGTTTAAGAAAATTTTACTTATTCAAGTTGATAAGATAATTAATGGATCTTCTGCATATTTATTCTCTTTAAGAAATTACTAGTTGGAACAATTAATGCGATGTATTAGTTTTGTTAAATGAAATTGAAGAAGGAGCCTTTAACATCCCAATTTTCAATTGGACCAAATCGATCCTAATTGAACCCAAGCATTGTTTTTAAATTATACTAGCCGCTTCACAGGGTCTGAAATGGAATTGCAACATTATTATTTGCTATATTAAAAAAGACAATGCTTTCTTAATAAGAAACTTGCAATTATAAGTATTAAGTCTTGAAGCTCATATAAAAACTTAAGAGATATCATCAAGTGCTTATTTTTTAAATATTGCTTCAACAAAACATCTCATATAAAAGAATACAATTATATAGTGGTAGTTCTGAGTTTTACTTCATAGCTATCATTTGTTTCACATCAAGAACTCCTATTTGACCCAGGAACCGTCTAGGCAATTGCTTCCGTTTTACCTTAAACCCGGTCCCTGGCCAAAAATCGTTGAATCAGTCAACAACCCGTCAACCCATTTAACGGTTTTTGGCCATTTTTATTTTTTTATTTTTTTATTTTTGTTGTCAGAATGGGCCATCTATTCGAACTGGACGGTTGAACTGTCGACCCAAAAATCGATGGCCAAATCAATTCCATTTCTAGGTCGTTTTTTCTAGATGTAAAAAATTAAACGAAATAACTTTGCAGTCATAGTCATGGGAAGGGTGGACATTGCAGGGATTCCAAAACCTTGAAAGATAAATCMAAAGTGACCTTAAACACAAACAAAAAAAAAAATTGGCAATAAATCCACTAAACTGGAAAAACCAAGGAAAAAATCAAAAAATCAAGTCCAAAGTTTCGCTTTAAGGTGGAGTTAAATATACATGCAATCAAAGAAAGAGACAAAGCAGATTGTCTTGTAAGAAAAAAAAAAAACTGCATAAGGAAGCTCAGAAAAAACAAAAGGGAAGAAATAAAATAGTGGTAAACCCCCGTTTTCGAGGATCTTGAAGAAGAATACCAAGTACAAAAAAAAAAAACAAAAACAAAAAACAAAAACAAAACAAAACAAAAAACAAAAAGAAAAAATGAAAAAAAGGAACATACCGCACATGCTCGAATAAAGCCAACAATAGAAGAAACCTTTGAATAGTGAAAATCCACATAAAAAACAATGATTTTCGAACCTCTGTTGACCCAAATGGATGGACATTTCGACCTGAGAACTGTCCAGGAATCCGGTTCCGTTTTACCCCAATCCCAGTCCCTAGACAAAAATGTTGAATCGATCAATGACCCATTGACCCGGGTAGTCAAACTGTCAACCCGTTGACCCGTTCAATGGTTTTTTATTTATTTTTATTTGGGAACCATCCAGGCAACCAATTCTGTTTTATCCCAATCCCAGACCCTGGCCAAAAACCGTTGAATTGGTTAACGACCCATTGACCCGAGCGATCGAACCATCGACTCGTTGACTCGTTCAATGGTTTTTGGCCGTTTTTTTATTTTTTTTTAATTTTTGTTGTCAGAACTGGCCGTCCGTTTGAACTAAACAGTCGAACCATCAACCAAAAAACCAATGGTTAGAATGGTTCCGTTTTTAGGTCGTATGAGTCACACGCTCAAATGACATAACATGTATGATACTACTTAACAGACCTTACACACTCAATTTTTTGCCTGTAATTTTTGTTGTCAAAACGGGTCATCCATTTAAACAGGACGTTCGAACCGTCATTTTTTTTTATTTTTTTTAATTGGGAACCGTCCTAGCAACCGGTTCCGTTTTATCCCAATCTTGGTCCCTGGCCAAAAACTGTTGAATCGATCAACGACCCATTGACCCAAGTGGTCGAACCGTCAATCCATTCGAATCGGATAGTCAAACCGTCGACCCAAAAACCGGTGTCCAGAATGGTTCCGTTTTTTAGTCGTATGAGTCACACTCGAATGACATAACATGTATGATACTGCTTAATGGACCTCACACACTCAATTTTTTTCCTGTAATCTTTGTTGTCGGAACAGACCATCCTTTCGAATTGGATGATCGAACCGTCGACCCGAAAACTGATGGCCAAAACAGTTTCATAATTTTTTGCTTATAATTTTTGTTGTCAGAATAGGCTATTCGTTTAAATCGGGCGATCGAACCATCAACCCAAAACTAGTGGTATATATATATATATATTAAAGGGCTCGCATTTGGCGAAAGGAGAGGCCACCCCATCCCTTTAATAGATATATATATAATATATAAGATATATAAGATGAACTTAGGTGAATAATTTTTAGATTTTGAAGGGACCCGGGTCCAAGTACTTGAACATCTTACCAATATAGTGGAAAATCTTCAAACCATCTATACAAGTATTTTTGAACTGTCATTGACCCGAACAGTCAGACCAGTGGCCCAATGACCTGTTGACAAAACGGGTCAAGCTCCCAGAAGCTACATTACAAAAACAGTTGGTTTGGTCAATTACGTACCCATGGCACCGATGGTTGACCAGTTTACCCATCTATCCCGTTCAATGGATTATTGGGTTCCTGTATTTTTTTTTTTTTTTGAACTTTTATGTTTACATTGATGACATCATGAATTAACATACATTAATATAATTCATATAGTTGAACATTGAACCAAATGGAAAATGGGTCAACCTCCACGTTGGATTAACAGTAAACACTAAGTATTATACTTTTTTATGAAAATAAAAAATTCAAAATTTCACCCTCTCGCTAGACATTTTATATTAGATAAATATGATTTAATGTATCAATTCTCAACAAATATCAAAAGATTTTTGTGGAGACCTCTACGTGCCTCACACGCGGAGGGCTTAACTAGTACTACTGAAACCTTTTACTAATTCTAGAAGAGAATCAAAGTCAACTAAACGGGAATCGACTTTGTTTAATTGCAATTTGTAAATAAAACCAAGCGAAGATTCTCTCTTGGTATTTGGTTTCCCACCCTATGTTTATATATACAACTACTCGGGACCTTTGCAATGCATGCGTCTTGTTATACAAAATTGAAGTAGAAATATTCATATGACATTTTCAATTGAGTCAAGTCAATTCAATAATTGTATTGTTTTGATCATGGATAATTCTAGGCTTAGTGTCACTTTGGTTCCTTAATTTTAAAATGCGATAATTTAGTATCTAAATTTTCAAAATATGACAATCCAGTACTTGTTGTTAAGTGGCATTTGAAAAAGACACAAATATCCTTTAAGTGTCATCTAATTTTCTTTATCAACCATCCAAATATTGACAAAAAATTAACAGTCCCAAATCCTTGCCTCTTCTATTCAATAAAGTTGGGGTCACTAGAATGCCCACACAAACGTGACCCCAACTTTATTGAATGGAACAAGCAATGATTTGGGACTGTTAATTTTTTTTCAAATGTCACTTAACGGTTGGTTAACAACTACTTAATGACAGGTACTAGATTGTCACGTTTTGAAAGTTAGGGGACTGAATTGTCGCATTTTAAAGTTCGGGAACTAAAGTGGCACTAGGCCCAAAGTACAGAATACTAATTGAGAATTTTCCTTAATTCAAATTAAAACCCTAGTGAGAGTAGTTAATCTCGTTTAGGAATGTCAATGGGTCAATTCAGATCATAAGTTCGACTTGGTTCACCCTTACATGGTCATGCTAGGGTCAGGCTTATTAGGATGTAGGGTCAGGTTAGAGTTTTGATTATTTTACCCAAATTGGGTGTAGATCTATCCCATTAGGTCATAATACCCCCTACACATATAAAGGATATTCTTATAATTTTCTATGACTTCTAACCCCTCACTTTAAAGTTTATGATTTCTTTCGATGTTTGTTTTAACCCGATTTAGGTTAGAGTTTTGATTATTTAACCCAAATCAGTGTATGGTTAGGTTAGAATTTTGATTATTTAACCCAAAAACCATTTTCAACTTAACTTAATGTCTTTTGACTTTTCAAAAAGTATCACAAAAAAAAATATACATTGAAAGACTATGGAACGAGTTGGATCGATGTCGAGTTGAACCCTAGGGGCAGGTTCAGAAACTACATATATTGAGTCAGGTTGGGTTGGGTTTGAGTTGAAGCATGGGAAGGTTGAATTAAACCCTGCCAATCCACCCAACCCTAGAGGGTTCACTTTGATATGAACCTAATTAACCTATGCCATAGTCTTTCAATTGTATTTGTTGTGACACATTTTGAAAACTCAAGACCATTAATTTAAGTTGGAAATTGGTTTATTGGTTAAGTTGACATCCTTATTCTCCTATACTCTATTTTTTATTACTAACAAGTGTATACATGCTTTGCATGTAATTTTTGATAATGATAAGGATAGTAAATAACACATTTCCAAAAGTTTGTATAATCTTTTATGTTTATAAAATTTATTTTTATTTGTCACATTTATTTTTGTTTAATATGATGAATATACATTATTAGAGATGTGCCCAAATATTTTTAGACTTTTTTTATATTTTTTTATTTTTATTAATATTTAATTATGACATTTAGGGTTGACACATTTAACCCAAAAGGTTGATTTGTTGACTCAACACCAAACAACTCCAATGTTTTGGTTGGTTTTATAAAAGTGCTTTCGTAAAAGT